AGAAGAGAGGAGAGGAGAGAGGAAAGGAGAGAGGAGAGGAGAAAGGAAAGGAAATGAAAAGAAAGGAGAAAGGAAAGGAAAGGAGAAAGGAAAGGAGAAAGGAAAGAAGAAAGGAAAAAGGAAAGGAGAAAGGAAAGGAAAGGAAAAAGAAAGGGAGAAAGGAAAGGAAAGAAGAAAGGAAAGGAGAAAGGAGAAGAGAGGAGAGGAGAAAGGAAAGGAGAGAGGAGAGGAGAAAGGAAAGGAAATGAAAAGAAAGGAGAAAGGAAAGGAAAGGAGAAAGGAGAGGAGAAAGGAAAGGAGAAAGGAAAGCACCAAACCTTTTTTTTAAAAAAGGGCCACTTCCAGAGTTTTGCCTGGCACTTTGCCCCGTGGACCCTGCAGGGCAGCTGAACAACCCATAAAGGCATAAAGGCTCCAAGAGGCAAGGCAGCCCCATTCCGCAGAGGTCCCTAAAGGGGGCCTGCAAAAGCCCCCCAGCCTCCCGTCCCTCTCCCCCGTTTCAGGGACCCAAAATCACGTTCAGACTCATGCAGGTTACCTCATACACGGCCGACGAAATAAATCAAATGCAAATAAATAAATAAAAAGAAGAGGGACCCCCAGGTGGGGGGAGGGAGGGGGCTCCTTTGGGGGGACCCACCTGAGAACGACCCCCGGGGGGCTCCCTGGAGGCTGCTGGTCCGCAGAGGCTTCTGGCGCTTGAACTGGGCCATCTTCGGGGGCCGCAGGAGATCTGGGGGTTGAAGGGCCTGGTCAGAAAGGGACACAAACGCCCCGCAGGAAAAGCCCCAGAGGAGGAGGGGGGTTAAGAGGGACCTGGGCTCGTCTAGATGCCCTCAGGGTACACCCACACGCACAGCCACCTGCACGGGGGCGGCCAGGGAGCCCTTCCTGCTTCCCCAGAGGCTACTTCGGGGACCCAGCCGGCCGAGCAGGGAGCTCGGGAGAGCGACGTGTCTTCCAACCGCCCCGCCTGGCAGCCTGGCCTGCACTGCGGGGTCTTCGTGACCCTCCCGCCACACACACACGCGCGCACACGGAGCGCGGGGGTGGGGGCTTCGGCGGCGCCTGCGAGGCTTCCACGGGGTCGGGAGGTGAAGGCGGCCAACGGGCGCTGAGAGGAGCCGAGAGGAGGATTCCTAGAGCGCCCCTCTCCGCCCTGCTCGAGAAACAGGCCGGGGGGGAGAGGGGGGAGGACCCACCTGAGGCGGCGGGGAGAGCGCCCGGCTGCGACCCCGGGGACAAAGGAACCCGGATGTGCGCCTGAGCGGAAACGCCTCCTTCCGCCACACCGGCGGTGCAGCGACCGGAAGGGCTCTCTTGCCCGGATGAAGCGCCACCAGGAAGCGAATGGGGAAAGAACCGGGGGAGGCGAGACTCGGTCCTCCCAGAAGGGAAAGACCGTCGCTTCTCGAAGATGGACCCTTTCGGGAGGGGGGGGAGGATGGATGGTCATCCAGATGTGTCTGGGTTACACATCCCAGCATCCTGGGCTGCTTGGGGCAGGAAGGATGGGGAGACTCCCCGCAGGCTGCTTGAAGCCCCTGGCAGCGACACAGCGCCTCCCAGAATTCCCAGCCCCTGGGCGGCATCACTAGGGATTCTGGGAAGTGTGGTCTGGCACATCAGGGCGCACCTGCCAGCAAGAGGAAGGGCCCCGCTAGATATGATTGAGGGGCAAAAATAGCATCCAACATCATTAAATACTGTAGGATTTGGTGTTTTTTGAGTTTTGAAACTGCATGGACAAAATCCCATGTGTTTATTTATTTTAGTTTGCCAAATATGTAGGAGATAGCCAGTGGTGGGTTCCAGATCCAGTTGTAACTGGTACAGTGCAACGGGGCCCAACATCTACAACATGAATGCGTGCAGTGCACATGCATACTTACCATCTGCGATGCTCTGCAACGCCTCCGCAACGCTCCAGCTGCTCGGTGGAGCGTTGCACAGGTGCCGTATGTTCCGCGTGCGTGGAAGCCCTGAAGAGCTCAAATATAGGTAAGGACGATGGGTGGGCAGTTGGGCCCTCCTGAGCACCGTACCAGAATGGTACCCGGTGCTCCCAGCAGGCCCCGGTACACCTGTACCGGGGCGTACCAGTCATAACCTAACACTGGAGAGAGCAGGTCTAAGTATAAACATGGACATGAACACAGGAAATGGGTACAAATAAATGGACACAATAGGACTGGGAGGGTAGGCACGCTGGTGCGCTTATGCATGTCCTTTTACGGACCTCTTAGAAAAGGGGTGAGGTCCATGCTAGACAGTTTAAGATTACAGTTGGGGGGTTTGAGGATGTAACCAATGGAGTCGGGTTGAGCCTTCCAGATGTTTGGAGTGGTTTACCTTGAGTTTGTATCAATTGTTTGCCCATGTATTATTGAGGTTGAACCTGAAGTAGTCATTGACAAGTAGGACGTTGTAGCTGACAATTTTGCGTACTATGATTAGGTCAGACCATAGGGGGCATAGTTTCCGGTTGGCCAAGCCCAAAATTTCAAACCTGGTGGCATAAGGAATTCTATTGTGAGCAGAAGAGTGGAGGACCCATTTCGTGAAATACCTCTGGACTCACTCGATTGTATTAATTATGTTTTAAGGAAGTGTGGAATAAATCACAGGCTCCCAGCTCTGGAAATAATGAGAGCTGACCGATTCCAAAGGGCTGCCATTAGTCCACTTAATTTTGTTTAAAAGTGTTTTGCTACCCGGTGGCAAGTTGGAGAACTATTGTGAGCCTCTTTCTTTTCCAGCCCCAAGTTTGTACATTTGTAGGTGTCCTCTTATTTTGCTCCCTTCTTCACATCTTCTCAACGTGCAGTTCGAACTGATCAGACATAAGCAGATCATTTTGATGGTTTAATGTAGGAATCACTAAGCCACAATAAATTAAGAGCTGCCAGGCATCTACGTTAGCCACACAGGTCATTTAGACTATTTATATTCTGTGCTGTATTCATTGACCTGGTCTTGTTTTTTATCAAAGTGGGGAGTTCAGCGGGCTGTTCGGAGATGGGCTGCCTACATCCTCCCATTTTGCAATCTTTTGTCCCAGGCTTCCTAGATCATGCACAATTCTTGAAATCAATACAGACACCAATACTTCTCTCACAAACTCCCATCTTCCATTAGAGGGAGAATAGAAATGAATGGACTCCCTTTTCCATTTCACAATGCATGTTTTAAATCACGCTCTCTTGGCTTCGACAGCATCAGAATACAAAGATTTTTAAATCCCTGGGTTTTTAAAATCAGAGTTGCTATCCAGCTTCATTTGGATTACAATTCTCTACATTTAAGAAGCACTTTCTCTGCAGAAGGAGATGTGCAGCCTGAAGGGAGCACAACAGACACTTTCCCAGCTATACAAAATATCATCTCCACCCACCAGCAATTCTTTCCATCTTGAATTCGAGTTTCGGGGCTCTGGATTTCCCTAAAGACCTTCTACTTTATCAGGCTATCGTAAGAGAGTTGCCCAATATCCCTTCTGTCCTTGGTGTTTGCCTTGATTAGATGGATGGCCCCACCCAAGCAACTATTTATTTAGGGATTAGAACGCTGATGTTCTTGGCACCAAGGAGCTCAGCATTTTCCTTTCCAACATTTAAGCTGTGGTAAATTAAGTTTTAAAGTTGCCAGGAGGATTTATCATACATTGGAGTGAGGTCAGCCTCCTTCAGCACTAGCCACAAATGACTGGGGATTATGGGCATTGGAATCCAATGTATCTGGGCAGCATCAGATTGTGAGACACTAAATCACCTTTCTAAACTTAACGCAATTGAAAACATTGATACAAGCCTTCTAGCTGTTGCAACTGAAAGTCAGCTGCTCCCAAACTCAACTGCTCATATCCTCTGGGAAACAGGGAGGGAGGTTAAATGGATCCCCGGTATGATCCAGCACGTCTCTGCTTGACTCGTGATATGCTACTTCTCTACTGCAAAGGACTCCATATATCTCCAGAAATAGTTTTTCAACCACGCTTCCTTCCATGCGGCATGAAATGATACAGCCCTAGAAAGCTTTGGTACCACGTTCCATTGAATTTAGGTTTTCAAACAAATTATCTCTACTCTCAGGATTCGGGTTTTTATGTCTGCAAAACATTTTATTTTCCTTCTTTAAATATAGTACAATAAATACAATAAATATATTCAAACTCACAGCCGCACATATATAGTTATCTGTAAAAAATAAAAAAAAAAAAAAA